AAAAAAAAAACTAGTCTCTGCCCTCATGGGGCTCACATTTCACTAGATGAACATTTTTATTTTTAACTTGGATAACGGCATAAATAGCATGTGCATCAAATTTGCAATCAAGACAAAGCTGGGATAGAGATCTAACCGAGAGAATGAAAGATTCTAAATCCAAAATGATCCTGGATACACTACAGCATTGGGCTAAATTATAGTGTGATGAAATTTAATAGGAATAAATGTCAAGTTTTACACATGGGTCAAAAAAAATCAATTTCATAAATAGATGAGTTATGATTAGACATAAGTTTGAAAGAATCTAATGGATTTAGGAGCCTGTAAGCTCACTATGATTCAGCAGTGGGAAGGGACAAACAAAAAAGCAAATGTGAACTTGGACTGCCTTAATAAAGGCAAAGCTTCCAGGAATCAGGAATTAATAGTCCCTCTGCATTTTGCACTGGTCATTTCCAAAGTATCATGCTCAGTTCTGGACACCAAGGTTTAAGAAGGGTATTAATAAGGTAAAATGTCCAGTGAAGGGCAGCCAGGATGGCAAAAGGACTTGAGGTAATGCTCTATTGGTTGAAGGAACTAGGGATGTTTAATGTCGAGAAGAAAAATCTCACTAGCGTGGTTGATAGCTATGTTCAAAGACATAATGTGAAGGGCTGTCCTATAGAAGGTGGATTCAACTTCTGAATGTGACAGTTGGAGTGTCAGTTAAATATATACGCTTGGTAGTGCTGACATGAAAAACCATCCACACTTGGCTCATTCCCATGCTTTCTGAAAGCTAAAGAGAAGCAGGCTGTCAAATAATTATCCAGCCAGGTAGGGGAATACACATACAGTATACAGAATGAATATAAATGAAGAATAATAAATATCTTTTACTCTTTTAGTAGGGCATAATTATTTTGCTCTTTTTTAACAGAGCAGTGAGTAACTGTTTACCTGTTACAACGTCACTATAAATATGTTTTTATATGATAAACAGATACTGACTTTACATAGCTAGGCAGCTAGGTGGCCCAGTAGATAGAGCTCTGGGCCTGGAGTGAGTCAGAAGGTCTTAAATCTGGCCTCAGATAGCTGTGTGATCCTGGTTGGCAAGTCATTTAACCTCTAACTGCCTCTTCATTTTCTTTGTCTGTAAAGTGAAGATAATAATAACTCCTACCTCCAAAGGTGGTTGTGAGGATCAAATGAGACAGTACAGTGACTGGCACATAGTAGACACTACATAAATAAACTAACAATATTATTATATATTTATAGACATTCAAAATGTATGCTATTTATGATATTTTCCAACTATTATGTATTCATTTAGAAGGAAATTTCTGCTTGAAATCATTGTGATGTGGTAACAGTTCAGTATTAGAAAAGTATTAATGAAATAAATTCAATATATTCTAGTCAGTTATTATCAGTAACCAGATGTTACTACTCTCAAGTTACCAGCCCAGTAGCTCCTAAAAAGAGAATGCCATGTCTGTCTGTCTGTCTGTCTCGCTCTCTCTCTCTCTCTGTCTATGGGCTTATACTGCCTTTTGCTCCATCTCTCAATCTCCAGGGTTTGTGGGAGTGGTGCTGGTTGCTGCCTAAGTGTATGGCGCTCAACTATGATCCACATAGTTACTCTAAGAAGTCTTTCATCTTTGCCATCAAGCCACCACCTACATCTAGAAGTTCTCTAGTTCTTGCAAACAACCTTATCATAGTTGCATGAGTGACTTCAGTGTCCACATGATTTAGTAAAATACAATAAATAATACTGTAATAAATAAAAAATACTGTAAATGGAATCGTCACACAGAAAAACCATAAAATTTCTGTTTTTGCTGAATTATCTCCCCCTCTGCTCATTTCCACTATTTCCTGAAATGAACAGATCCCTACTTTCAAGGGATAAGTGAAAAGGTATGGAGTCAGGAGATGGAGTGTCATATGTGAAGAATAGCAAGTAGGCCAGTACGGCTGAATATTAAAGTATGTAGAAAAGAGTCAATGTAAAAAATAAGTCAGGTTGTGAGGAACTTTAAATGTACTCTCTCCTCAAAGACTATATTTGATGTTGTAAGTGTATCAAGGGGTGGCATGGTCAGACCTATGCTTCAGGAAGATCATTCTGGCAGCTAAGTGGTTAATAGATTAGGGCACAGACACCATTTAGGAGGCTACTGGGATACTCCAGGCAGCAAGGGATGAGAACTTGTACTAGGGTGGTGGCTGTGGGACTGGAGAAAAGGTGACGTATGGGAGAAATGTTGTAGAAAAATAAATTATAAGATTTGAAACTGAATGGATAGGAGTTGAGGATGACACCAAGGTTACTAAACTGGGTAACTAGAAGGATGGTGGTACCCTCACCAAATGAACACAGTAGATCTTACCTCATTCAAAAGCAACTTTCTGCTTACGAAATGCAGAAAACTTTTTATATAACTTAAAATAAAAACTAATGCCGAAATTACCATCAGAGAGTTAGACAATCCAACATTTCCCCAAAACTCAGGTAACAATTCTTTTGTGGAACTAAATTTCAACAGAAATTTCAACAGAAAAACAACAACTAAATTTCAACAGAAAAACAAATGACAAAATCTAATGAGAACCTCTGGAAAAATGAAAGATTCATGCAGCTGGAAGTGGACATAAGAGGTATGAACCCCAAGACAGCTTCAGTCTTTACAGGATTACTTTAAGGGTGTAAATCATGCTGACTGGAGGACATGAAGGGGACCTGCTCAGGCTAATAACCTCTTAGGTTTGCTCTATGCTTTAGTATACCCAGGGGACCCAGAAGAAGGTTCCAGGAATCCCTGAGGTAAAGCTCCAAGGAATCAAGATGAAACAAACATTCACTAAGTCCCTTGTGCACACAGAAAACATGCTAGATGCTGGGAGAGATACAAAGTTTGGAGAGGAAATAGAAAATTATGAGGTTGATAATATGGGTTGTATGGTAGTGCCACAGAAAGAGAAGGTGAGAAAAATAATCAGTTGGGGACCTAAGTTTTAGACATGTTTAGTCTGAAGGATCACTGGGATACTTAGGTGGAAATATACTTAAAAGTTGGAGATTCTCATCTGGAGTTCAAAATTAGATATACAGATTTGAGAGCTCTGCATAGAAATGGTAATGGAAGCCATGAATGTGACTAAAAACACTAAAGGAAATGGAACAGAGGAAGAAGAGAGGCAAGAACAAGTCCTTGGGAAACAACACACATTAATAGGTCAAAAAGATAAGAAAACACAGAGTGAAGAGACATAGGAGGAAAGTCAGGAGAGTATGTCATATGAAGTTGAGAGACTTAGTGTCAAAACCTGTAAAGACCAAGGATGGTGAAGAAAATGACCATAAGAGATGCCTAGTGACCTTCAAAGGGGCGATTAAAAGTAGGCATTTGGAAGAGGGAGGGAGGCCCAAAAAGCCAGGTGTACTGTTAATAATAGTAGTAGCTAGCATTTATATAACATATTATGTAGCTTTGTAAATATATTTCATTTTATCCTCCAAACAACCCTAAGAGAGCAGAGACCTCAAATCAAAAGGATCTCCAACAGCTGACCTGTGAGTTAGTTCTATCTCCTTTCAGGGCCACAGTAGGAGATTCAACTAGCTCACAGCCAGAGACTGAGCAAGAAGAAGAAACAGACAATGCAAGACCTGCACTCACAGTGGAAGAACAGGTGAGATAGAAGAGCAGGGGCCTAATAACAAGTAACACAGCTCATACAGACTACAGAGGGGACAGGACCAAACAGAGCCTACCCAACCCATCCAAGGGAACTGGAGAAGACAGAGCCTGACCCTGCCATAAAGTCCAATCTGAGAAATTAGGCTATAGATATGAGTAAACAGAAGCAAACACCAAACACAAGTAAGAAATGCTAACAATTATCAGAAGTCTAAGAGAAAAATCCAAAAGAATATAGCAGTAACTTCAAAACAAGTACAAGCATAGCCTTAGAAGAGTAAAAAACAAAATAGCTTGGTCACAAGAAATCAAAAGAATGGTTAGATAAAAATCAAAGTATGATGTCAATGAAATTAGAATTGCTGAGGGAAAAAGAGAAAACAGAATAGCTTAGAACAAAAAGGTGTACTTTCTATCACAATGGCTGCCTGAATTGAGGAAAGCTAGCCAGCTCTGTGACATCTACTCAATAAAAACCTGAAATTTCCACCAGAATGAATAACGATCAAGAAAACCAATGAAAGAAAAGGGATTCTGAGAAGAGAGCAACATTCTAGGACATGAAGAAACTCACTCCACCCCAAAACCCCTTCTAGGGTTAGAAATGCACCACTCCAAAAACAAATAAGAAGAAATAGCTGTAGATTTCCTCCACCCAAGCTAGGAATTCATAGAGGAATCCCTTGGAGTCTTGCATAGACCTTGAGACAGACAAGCCAGGCTCTGGAAGGTCTGCTATTAACCAGAAGCCTGAGACCAATAGAAGCCCAGTCTGGGTTCATGGTTACAGGAAACCAGGCTGAGAGAAGTCTTGGGACATTAATGGGGAAGAAGGGTAAGCAGTATCCAGCCCAAAACAAAATGGTATGAGGCCCTGACTTCAAGAGCCCAGTTTGAAAGAGCAGACTCAAGGGGTTCCCGGTGAGGCACAATACCAGAACACAACACAAGATACCTTTGAAGGTATCTGGGATACCATAAACAGGACCAAGTAAGGCCCTGCCCACATTATTCAATTGAGAAAACTAACCCAAGCACAGCCAGCAACCCCACCCCCCAAACCTAGACAATGAATTAGATGAGATGAGCAAACCAAGGAAAACTCCAAATACTATGAGGAAATACCTTGGTTTAAATGATGCCCAGGGGGTAAACCCCGAGGAGGAGAGCAACCCCACAAGTCCAGGTAAAGCCTCGGAGAAAAAATGTCCTGGCCAGAGGGACTGCAGAAGTACCTGGAAGAAATGAAACAAGAGAAACAGAATGGAAAAGCTAGGGAAGAAAGAATGGCAAGGAAAATTGACACCTTATAACTGAGGATGGAAAACCTCACCCAGGAACTAAATGTCCTAAAAATTAAAATAAGCCAAACTGAAAATGACTCAGTAAGAGAGCAAGAAATATTAAAACAAAAAAGGAAACGTGAGAATGCTTACTCCAAACCAACTGACCAGGAAAAGTGATCCAAGGAGAGATAATCTAAGAATTATCAGCTAAAAATCATGATCAAAACAAAGACTGGAAGCAATTTTCAAGCAATTTTAAATGAAAACTGCCCAGAACTCTCATAACCAGAGGCCAAAATGAAAAGAGAATCCACTAGTCACCTCAGGAAAGAAACCTCATAATGAAAACTCCCAGGAATATCAGTTAAAATCCAGAGTTTCAAGGACAAAGGAAACATTAGAAACTGCTTTTAAAAAAAAAAAAAAAGGGAGGAATTCAAGTCCCAAGTAGCCAAAATAAGGGTCACACAAGAATTAGTATCTGCCAATAAAAAGAAGAGAACTTGGAAAATGATATTCCAAAAGGCAAGAGATAATCTACAACCAAGGATAATCTATGTGGCAAAACTAAATAGAATCTTACATGGGGTTTGAAGGAGAACTTTAATGGAAAAGAAGATTCCCAACCATTAATGATGAAAAGGCTAGAAGCAAACAGATATTTTAAAATGGAAACACAAGAGCCAGGAGAAAAATACAAGAGTATATATATTTGTTTCATTAAAAGGAAATATATGAGTATGAATTGTTTACATGTTAATAAGAGAATAAGAAACAAATATCTTCTAAGAACCCTAATAGCTTTATGGATGATAGAAAAAGTTTGAAATGATAAAGGGTTTTTCTGGGTGATTGTGTTCTGTTTTAATGGTCTTAGGAGAAAACAAAAATGGGAGGGACAAGAGACTACATTAGGAAAGAAAGGAAGGTGAGAAAAACCACTACTGTTGCACATTAAGATGAAGAGTATAAACTCACAGAAGAAGAAGTAAGGAGAAATGGAGATCCCTTGAACCTCATTTTCATCTGAACCAGATAAAGGAAGATTAAAAACAACCACACAAACAGACAGGTACAGGTATTTTGATATAAAAATACATTAAACTCAAAAGAGAAATAAGAGGGGGCAAGTACAAGGGAAGGGTAGAAAAGGGAGGGGGTCTAAGAGGGAAATCAAAATAGGTATGAGAACAGCCAAAAATAAAACAATCTCAAATGCTGTAAAGAGGAGATATAAAAAGAAAAGAAGAGTAACGACCTGGGATCAGAGTGGGATAAACTGAAATAAGAAAAGCTGTAAATAGAGAAGAAATAAGTTCCTTCACTTAAATATCACAAGTGTCAGGCAACATCTCTCTCTTCAACAAAATTTTCATTTATAAAGGAAAGGATATTAACAAAGGGAGAAAAAAGTACAAAAAGAGGGTAATGGTAATGGGATAAACTCACCAACAAAATGGAAGAGCATACAGAATGGATCAGAAAGTGGAACCTGACAATAGTTTTCAAGAAACACCACTGAAACAGAAAGATTCACCATGAATTAAAATGAGGGGCTGGAGCAAAATCTACTGTGCTTCAGTTAAACTCAAAAAATTGGGCAATAGTAGCAAATGTGATTTCAGATAAGGTTACGGGAAATTTAGACAAGATAAAAAAGAAAAGCAAAAAATTTATATCACAATTAAATGCACCATATGTAATCATTATCAATATTTAATATATACCCACTCAACAGCAAATCATCTAAATTGGTTATTCAAATTGGAGAAAGAAAATTTGGTAAAAGAGTAACAGTGTGGCAGTGTACTCTTTTTGAACAAGAAAGAAGTTAAGAGCCTAACTAAAACTTTAGAAAAATAAGAGATGACAGCTACCTGGAAATTACTGAAAGTGAACAGGGAGGAATATACAATACTTCTCAGCTATATATAGCACCTCTCCAAAAAATGATAATGTATTGGGGCATAAAGACCTCACCAAAAAATGCAGAAAAGCAGAAATACTAAACATATAATTTACAGATCATGATGAAATAATTATTCAATAAATGGCCCTGAAAGAATTTAAATGTAACTGTACACTAAATAACTTAATTGTAAAGGCTAATAGGTCAAATAAATTATAGAAATAATAGAAAATTTCAAAGAAAATTACAAAGATGAGACAATTTGTGGAATGCAACTAATGCAATTTTAAGGGGAAATTTTCTATCTCTTAATATTTTCACAAACAAAAGAACACATCAATGAACTGGGAATGCAATTAAAAAAAAAACAAAAACCTTAAACAACAAATCAAAATCCAAAGCACAATAATCACTGAATTGATAAGTCAAACTAGGAGCTGTTTTGAGAGAGGAAAAAACTAACAAATAAAATAAAAGGTTTATTAATCAAACTTTTAAAGAGGGGAAAACAAAATTGTTCAGATTCAAAAAAAAAAAAAAGAAAAGCAACTGAAGTGGAAATAAAGGTAATTATTATAAACTATTTTGCCCAATTATATGCTAACGAAACTGATAACAGAATAGAAAATTCACAAAAATATAAAGTATCCACATAAACAAAGGAACAGCCTGCTTAAACAGCCAAAAAATTTTTTAAACTAAACAAATCAAAAAAGTGAATTTTCTAAGAAAATAAACTACAAGACTAAATGGATTCATAAGTCAATTCTAGCAAACATTCAAAAAATAATTACATAAACAGTTTGCAATAGTAAGAAAAGACGGCATCTTTTCCATTCTCTATGATACTAATATGGTCCTGATAATCAAATCAAGGTGAGACTAAACAGAGAAAGAAAACTACACACCAATAAATATCCCTAATGAACACTGATACAAAAAAAATTCAAATAAAATATTAGCAAATAGCTACAATAACATATTAGAAAGTTTATACACTATGCCCAGGTTGGATTTACACCAAGAAGGCAAGGCCATAACAAAGATTATGTTGTTGTTGTTCACTCATTTCAGTTGTGTCCAACTTTTTATGACCCCTTTTTGGGGGTTTTCTTGGCAAAGACAGAGAAATGGTTTGCCATTTCCTTCTTCAGTTCATTTTATAGATGAAGAGACTGAGGCAAACAAGGTCAAGATACCTGGCCCAGAGTCACACAGCTTGGTAAGTGTCTGAGGCTGTTTTTTGACTCTAGGCCCACTGCTCTATGGCACCACCTAGCTGCCCCATAAGAAAGACTACAAATATAATAAACCATGTTAATAATAAAAATAATTTTTAAAATATATGACTATGTAAATAGATGCTGAAAAGGCTTCTAACAAAATCCAACACCCCGGGGAATAGAGCCAAGATAGCAAAGTAAAAGCAGTGACTTGCTTGAGCTCTCCCCCAAACCTCTCCAAATACCTGTAAAAAATGGCTCTAAACAAATTCTGGAGCAGCAGAACCACAAAAAGACAGAGTAAAACAAATTTCCAGCCCAAAACAATCTGGATGATTGCTGATGAAGGTCTGTTGCAACAGACTGAGAGAGGAGTGCAGTTCACCATGGGCCACACAGGCAAAGAGGAGGCCCCAGCAACCTGGAGCAGGCCTCCAGGGACTGAATCACTGGCAGCTGTGGCAGTTTTCAGCCTTCTCAGCCCACAAAGGCCAAAGACAACTTAGAAGTCCAGTAGGAAAGATCTGTTGGGCCTCAGTGAGAAAGGAGCATGGTCCAATCCCACTCTTGGCACAGCCCCGGAGTGGGGCTGCTTCTGGAGCTCTCAGCCCACAGATGGTGGAGGGATTGAGTGGCTGATCAGAGGGAGATTGCAGGAATCTCTTTGCTGGAGCTGAGGCAGGATTATCTTGCTTTGTCCCTGCCTTGATCTGGGTCAAAGTCCTAGATGGCAATCTTGGGGTGAGGAGAGCGTTGGCATGAGCTTCTAGTGGTGGTGGAGAGAGAATCCTCCTCATAGTACAAAAGCAAAAGAGTGCTTGTGGTTACTCACAGACCAAAGCACAGGTCAGAAAAGGAGTAAACACCTCTCCTTTGATCATACCACCATGGAAGAACTGAAAATGTATAGGTCTCCAGAAGTATCTCTGAAAACAGCTTCACAAAACTCCTGAAGCTTGGGACAGTACATCCTCCACACTGGAAGCAGACCCCTACCTAAATAAAGAGTTTAATAGTCAAGTAATCAGCTGAGAACATGAGCAAACAGCACCAAAAAAAAAAAAAAAAAAGGCAGACCACAGAATATTACTTTGGTGACAAAGAAGATCAAAACATACAACCAAAAGAAGACAATAAAGTCAAAGCTCCTATATCCAAAGCCTCCAAGAAAAATATGAATTGGTCCCAGGCCATGGAAGAGCTCAAAAAGGATTTTGAGAAGTAAAAGAAGTAGAGGAAAAAATGGGAAGAGAAATGAGAGTGATACAAGAAAATCATGACAAGTCAACAGCTTGCTAAAGGTGACCCAAAAAAAAAAACCACTGAAGAAAATAACAGCTTAAAAAATAGACTAACCCAAATGGCAAAAGAGGTCCAAAAAGTCAATGAAGGGAAGAATGCCTTAAAAAGCAGAATTGGTCAAATGGAAAAGAGAGTCCAAAAGCTCAATGAACAAAATAATTCCTTAAAAATTAGAATGGAAGGGACAGCTGGTGGCGCAGTGGATAGAGCACCAGCCCTGGATTCAGGAGGACCTGAGTTAAAATCTGGCCTCAGACACATAACACTTACTAGTTGTGTGACCCTGGGCATGTCATTTAACCCCATTGCCTAGCCAATCAATCAATCAACCAATAAATAAATAAAAATTAGAATGGAGGCAGCTAGGTGGTGCAGTGGATAGAGTTCCAGCCTTGGAGTCAGGAGGACCTGAGTTCCAATAGGGCCTCAGACACTTGACACTTACTAGCTTTGTGACCATGGGCAAGTCACTTAACCCCCATTGCCTCAAGAAAAAAAAAAAGCCAAAAAAAATT